TGTGTGTGTGTGTGTGTGTGTGTGTGTGTGTGTGTGGAGAGAGAGAGAGAGAGAGAGAATATACATAGTATATAGAATATGTACTCTTGGGAGCAGGCAACAGAATTACATTTTTTATGTGAGCCACTGTGCTCAGAGTAAAAAAAATGACAATAAAGTTATCTTATTACCTTATCTGAAAAGATTTTGAAAAAATAACAACTAGATGTAGAATATAACAAGAAATTGACAGAAATTGATTGATTGAATCAGTTTGCATAGTCATTCACTAATGTGTGATTTAGGACAGCATAGACAAGTAAAATCACACATAATATCTGAAACTGTTAACACACTTTACTAGAGACAAATTCATCCAACCAAAAAACACCAACAGGATCCTAATCTCCCAGCTCAGTGTCTATAGAGTAATACCCAATTACAGACCAGGTTTATGTGGAATAATGTGAACTTTCTCCATAATAAAATATGCAAATTCCCAGGTTTTGGTCATGCTATACCTGTGTTTGATTAACTGCCACCAAGTTGGTTTTTACTGACCATGTAAACTTTCTCTGGAATGTCCTCCTCTAATCTAGCCTTTAGTGTCTCACAAAAGTGCATTCATTGCTATTGTAATTGAGTTAATCTACCTTGCTGCTGGTCATCCTGTCTTTATTTCCACTTTTTCTGGTATTATGTACTTTTCCAAGTAGCTTCATATAGCGTCCAAAATATAACAGCTTACGCTGATCATTTTTGTTTGATTAATGATAGGCCAACACCCAAGTTGAAAAACATCTTCAAAGGCCCATGTTTATATCCATGATGTGTCAGAGAAAATCACTGCCTGCACAATTCTAATATTTCTGATAGATAGATCATAGTATCATGAAGTCAATTAACCTCTTTTTTAAAATTAATATTCCTTTTATCAGTGTATATAGTAAAGTCACTGAAATAATGGATGGTTTCAGTCTTTTGAGACTGAGTAGTAAAGGAAGCAGTGGTACATCTCATGTTTGAATTATAATTGATTAAGAATGTGCTCACAGTAGGTGGCAATATTTAACAGGATGCACCAGAGGATCTCACTATTGAACACATTAGTCCTAAAGCCTTTTATCACCCCTTGACTTTAACAGGCATAAGTTAGATGTGGTATCTTGTGGAAAAGCAACAGTACGAGTCCAGAAAGCCATTTGCAGTGGTTTCTTCCGGAATGCAGCCAAAAAGGACCCACAAGAGGGCTACCGGACCTTGATTGATCAGCAAGTGGTCTATATCCATCCCTCAAGTGCCCTTTTCAACCGCCAGCCTGAATGGTAAGGACATGGATTGAAATCAGAATTATTTCTATTTGAATATCTGCTGAAGTAGGTAAATAGAAAGTACACTTTATTTTGTATAGCATACCTTTGTCAGGAAGATCTATATTTTTGCAGAATAGTCTTGACAGCTTAATTGCTGGTTCATTCAGTTAATGCCTGCGCACTTATCCATGGTGTTCCATGGGAGATGAACTAGCTTGCATTATCTGGCTAGCAGTGTTCAGGTTGATGACATCTTTTGGGACTTCTTCTGTCAATCCCATCCTGTGTCTGGGCAGGTCCAGCACAGACTCTCATTCTCTTCACAAAGCTAGTCTTTCCCACTAGAGTGGTACCCATTTAACTACTTGCAGTAAGCTTTCAAACTGCTGGGTGGGTAGGGCAGAAGCTAGAGGCAAGTGACAGGAGCTCATCCTGTCCCACAGAGCTATCAGGCTTGAACCGCTAGGATGCCAACCATTTCTGGTTAGCAGATCCAGTGTCCTTAAGTTGCTGCATCACAGTGCTTCCTTCACAGTTGCAATGTGAAACAACTATATTGTTAGAAATTTGGAAACAAAAAATATTGCTATGAATTTGAGGAATTTGTATGCACAGAGAATAATAGTATTTTGTATTTAGAAATGTGTGGAGACCCTCTTAAATAGGTCCCCTAGAACATCGTAATCTAGAGAATTTATTGATTTTATTGAATTTGCATTTCTTCTATCAAGATAATAAAGTTTACCACCTACCCTTTATTATGGTATTACAATTCTGCTTTGGTGAGATATAACTGAAAGTTAGTGGAATCTTACAGAATAGATACATAGCCAACTGTTTTATGTGACATATTGTAATTGAGATATTCGGCTATACAGATTCCAAAACAGCTTTTAGATTCAAGATTTTGCTTTCAGTGTACAAAGCTTTAATGGTGACATGACAGCTGTTGTCACCATTACAGGTAGACTTCAACTTAGATCGCAATTGAGCCAGAAATTACTGTTGTAAGTTCTGCTGTCATTAAGTAGATCACCATGTTCAATTTTATCTTTTTGCATTAGTTGTTAAGTGAATACCACAGCATTAAGAGAAAATTCATCTAATACTTTAAAATTTACTTAAAAGTCTACAGCTGGGATTCTTAAATTGGGAGTAATTAGTCCTAGGAAGGTAATTTGGTTATACCTTTGTGAGTTAAGGATCCTATTTGGGACTGTTGCTGCAAAAACGCTTGGGTTAAAAAAACATTTTGTCCATCTATTTTGTGGGACTAATGCATTATTTGAGACTTAGAACAGGAGTAATTGAGTCAAATGATTTAAGAACCTCTAGCCCAGTGATGGCTAACCTTTTCGGCACTGAGTGCTAAAAATGTGTTTGCACACCAATAATGCAATGTGTGTGACCCCTCTGCATGCCATGCCCCCCCCATGCATGGGTACATGACCCCCCATGTGTGCCACACATATCCCTCACATATGTCCCACCCTCTGCACATGCATGCACAGCCCCCCCTGTGCCCTCCGCCTGTCTCCCGCATGTACCCTGCACATGCAAAGCAGAGACCCAAAACCAGCTGGCCGGCAGGAGGCGCATGAGCATGCATGATGGAGTTGAGCTGGGGCAATGGCTCATATTCCCGCAGAGAGGGGTCTGCGTGCCACCTGTGACAGAGGTTCGCCATCATGACTTTAGCCTAAGTTCTAATATCTAAAATAGTCTGTAGTTAAAAGAGCTGAGCCAAATCTGGAGCTATGCCTTGCTGTGAATGATGATCTTCCTCCTTTCTTTAAAGGACAAGTTCTGCCACTTTAGAATGGTTCTTTATTCAGCTTTGGACTACTATACTCAAGTGGATGCTAACTAGATTGCTTTTATATAATTTTAAATATAAAACATCTACACTCCTTTTTGTTGTTGTTATGTGTGTCCTTTAAGAAGGGCAGTCCGTCTATATAGTATAATGCAGTGGGCCCCAACCTTTTTATCGCCGCGGACCAGTCAGCCTTTGATAATTTTACCGTGGCCCGCTGAGCGCGCGCAGGGACACACGGGGCTCTCTTCCCTGGAGCCTTTGCGCACGGCCCAGGAGCTTTTGCGCACGGCCCAGGAGCCTTTGCGCTGCAGCCTGGTCCTTCGCCTCCCCCCCCCGGAGAAAGCCGGTCCGGAGAAAGCCAGTCCCCGCGCCTCTCACTCCCACACGCGCCACCTCCGAGCGTCACAGCCCCACCAGCCCCACATAGAGCGAGCGAGCAGCTCAAGGTCACCTCCGGACAGCGGCAGTGGCCCCTTCCAGAAAAACCTGCAGCAAAGGCGCCAGTTAACCACCACCTGCTTACCAGGGTTGGCTGCCTCGGGCGCTTGGGCAAAAGTGGCCCCGAGGAGGCGGACGCGCACAGCTGACGCGCGTCTTTCCGAGCTCCACAAAAAACCCCAACGGCCCCCTTTCGGTGCGGGCTGGAAGCCAGGCGGGAAGTTCCCGTTCTCTTACCTGGGCTGTGACGACTATTGGGGAAGTGTGCAGCGCCTCAGAAGTAAAGCTGCCGCCGCTGACGCCATTCCTTGGAAGCGACGGAGCGGCTGAGGCAGGAAGGCGCGCGGCGGTGGCAGCTGTTCAGCCAGCCGCCTCGCAGGAGAAGAGCCGCTCTTGGGTTTTGCAGGGGGCGGCGGTGGCGGCAGTACCAGCAGCGCCCGGGGATTCCACCAGCGCGCGTGCGGACCTTTGGGCAGCTGTTCATGTCCCCCGGCCGCTGCGCGGCCCGGTGCCAGGTACTCCACGGCCCGGCACCGGTCCGCGGACCGGGGGTTGGGGACCACTGGTATAATGTATATGAAAGCCAGAAGAGTTCTGTTTGAAAAGAAAATGACATTCTTATCTTTTTTGTTTTATTATTAGGGTGGTGTACCATGAGCTTGTGCTCACAACCAAGGAGTATATGAGAGAGGTTACTACCATAGATCCCCGCTGGCTTGTGGAGTTTGCCCCAGCCTTTTTCAAGGTTTCTGATCCCACAAAGCTAAGCAAGCAAAAGAAACAGCAGCGCCTAGAGCCACTTTACAATCGCTACGAAGAGCCCAATGCCTGGAGGATATCACGGGCATTCAGACGTCGATGAACCTCATCCTTGTGTGGCCACAAACTGTTCGATATCTCTATAATATACACTCTGATTTAAGGCATATTTGGCCATGTATTGTCATTTTTCTTAAATCTCAAGGCAAGCGAAGAAATGTGGCAGTTGAAAGTTACTACCTTCATCTAATTGATACCATTGTCAATTTCAGAGAAGTTACTTATTGTTAGACAGACTTTTTCCTTCTATTTCTACACTGTCCATGGATCAAAAGTTACCAAACATGTTGGTTAATAAATTAATATTTCAGTGTTAATTTGTGGACATCTCGTATTGGAACCTGGTTATCATTGGTGCTGTAGTAGAATGAGAAAAATACCCATTTCTACATATAAGAAAGACATTTTTCAGAGGTGATAACACTGACTACCTTTTTTTTTAACCTAAGCAGGCTTTTTTTCCCCAAAGTTTTTTTTTATTTTTTGTTACAAATTTAAATTTTTTTTGAAAACAAAGCATTGCCCAGTTTTCCCCCTTTAACATTCTCTCATGTACATAATTCATTTTACATTATATTTCCCTTCCAATTTTAACTGTATTATTTTCTTTCCATATTTTCCATCTTAGATTTAATATTTTTAACACATAAACAATATCATTATTTGTCCCTTCAGAAATAAACCAAGTTTATCATTTCATTTTCTATCTATTTTGTATAAGTAACATATATCCTCAAATTCAGTTTTTATATAATAAACTTTTAATTAATTAGTTTCCACAATTAATGATATTAATATAATTCCCTCATATCTTAATTAGCTACATAGCATTACCAGTATTAACATTTCATTTTATTCTTCTAATATATCCCATTTTCCCCTTTCTCTTTGTCTAATCATTTTCTCTTTTTTCACCTCTTTATTCTCTTTAATGTTCCACTTTCCATTAATTTTTCTAGTTGTCCTTTTATCCCGTTCTTAGCTTCTCTCCTTTTTCTTTTTATATGTATTGTGTCTTTTCTTCCGAATCTTTTCTATCACTTTTCAATAATTGTTTGAATAACCCTCCCCAAGATTTCTCTTTTTCGCTTCTCACTATTTCTCTCTTTGTTTTTGGCTTGTTCCTTTTTTGGATACCATTTTCCTTTTTTCCTCTCTGCTCCTTCTGTGCCTCTGTAAATCTCAATAAAATTGTCTAACTGGTTTTTATTTTCAGCTTCTTTTTCTACAATGTTAACTTCTTGCTTCTCATTTGTGTTCCTCTTTGCCAGTTCCTCTCCTGTTTCTTGTTCTATGCGTTTCAATGATTTTTCTGGTTCTTTATTACCTTTTAGTGTTGCACGTGCATCTTTTAACATTTCAGGTAGTTCTTCATACATCCCACACTCCATGTTCAAATTTAACAAACTTTTAAAATCTTTATACTTTACCACAATTAATTAAATTCCTCTTCTTGTTTCCAATCCCAATTTTGATATCAAGTTCCCTAAATAGTCCAGTCCACTTCAAAAGTTTTTTTAAAAATTTTCTTTCTCAGCCTTAGACAAAGTCAAACAATAGGGAAGGACCATAAACTCCTTAAAAATTCTTAGTATATTCCACTTATCTTTTCTGTAGTCCATTTTTCAGAGGTGAAAACACCGACTACCTTTTTTTTCACCTAAGCAGGCCATTTAGAGGGTGGATTTTTACAATACAATTAAATTTTTACACTAAACCTAAAACGTTAATTGCATTATTGCATTAAAGCAATATTCCTGTATTTTATCTATTATTTTTCCAAGCAGTGTTTTTTTAATTGCTAATTTTAAATTTAAAAAAACAATAGTGCTTGGCTACCCTCCTATCTTTTCTGCCATTATTTGATGATACTTTCTGTCTTCATGATGTCAGGGAGAGCCCATATTTGCAGAACTTTTCCATTTTATTTTCTGAACTTAAAGATATTAAATGTATATTAAGGAAGTACCAGCTTCATTCATATGTCCATAAGGAAGTGATGGTTCATGCAACGATGAATTGTACAGCTTCTTTGATGCCTTTTACATTATAGTTTTACAATCTATTTATAATTTTTAAAAAATGAGTTAAAATGATAGCTGTGGGAGAGATTACTTTTTTCCACATCTGGGACTGTGAGAAGATGAATGATCCCTATCCTGTTTTTTTTTAAACTTTTCTTTAAAAAAAATTATAGGGGCATTTTGCTTATTGATTTTTTTTTATATTCTTGGTTATTTCACTTCCTGGCAAAAAGCGGCAGGAAATTCTACTATTGTTCTGTGGTTTCTGATCTTCGGGATTGTAGCGCCACAAAAAATATCGAGCAGGACCTTATGTGCTTGAACTAAGGAACTTGTCTGCTTCTACTCTATATGAAGAGCTTTCATTATTAACTTCAATTTTATACAAGGAGAAACTGCCAAAAATAAATTCTCTTTTTATGGTATCTTCAAACGACATGTATTTTTCTGAGGTCTTGAAGAAAAGAAAAGAGAAAGTGATATCCAATGGTTTTATTTGGCTCAATTTGTCTGTCACTGCAAGGAGCTAGCATATGTTCAGCTAGAGGCAGCTTGAAATTCCTAGCTATAGTGCCAAACAGTGAAAACATCTGGTTTAAATTAATTTATAAGAATAAATTGGTATGAGTTGGAAAGTTGGAGGAGAAATAGAAGATTTAGAAATATTCTAAATGTTTAGAAAAACAAAAAAGAGAGCTGGCCTTGGAACCTATGGAGAGGGGAAGAGTGAACCTCTGGAAGGAGTACAGAAAAGAGTAACAAATATGATTAGGGCTCTGGAGGCTAAAGCCTATGAAGAACGGAATTGGGTATGTCTGGTCTAGGGTATGTCTAGGGGAGATATGATAGCAGAGTTCTAATATTTGAGGGGCTGCCACAAAGAAGGTGGGAGGTGTCAATCCATTTTCCAAAGCACCAGAATAAGAAGCAGTGGGTGGAAACTAATCGAGAAGAGAATCATCCTGAAACTAATGGAAAAAATCTTGACAGAATAATTTACCAATGGAATGGCTTGCCATCAGAATTTGTGACTACTCCATCACTGGAATATTTAAGAAGAGATTAGACACCTATTTGTCTGAAATGGTACAAGGCAGTGATGGTGAACCTTTTTGGCACAAAAAGGGAGCATGATGTGCGGCACTGAGTTCCGAAAAGGAAGCACTTCACGCCCGCTCATCTGGGCCGCACCCAGGAAGAGATGTTGCCCAGGAGGCATGCATGCACAGGAAAATGCACTTCTGGTTTCTGGTATGTGCTTGCCCTTAGGCTGGGAAGTCTTGTGGTTTCTGCCATGCAACTGGCCTATGCGCATGCTCACACCAGAAAATGGAAGACCAGTTCTTCCACTTTCCAACACTGCCGCATGTACAAAGCTCAACTGATTGTTGCATGTGCATGCACGCCAGAATCCCAGAAGAGGAACAGGTGATGTCACATGTGCCAGGTGACATGGCTCTGCATGCCACTTTGGGCATGCATGCCATAGGTTCGCCATCACAAATATAAGGTCTCTTGAATGACCAGGCAGTTGGACTAGATAGAAGACCTCCAAGAACACTTCTGGTTGTGTTCTCTTAAATAAACTGACATACAACAAAGTAATTTTGGGATTGCAATCAGGGCAGAAGCTGAGTTAGGACAGGTCTCAGATTACAAAGCACATGCTATGTTGCACAAAATGATAATTCAGACAATAGCAAAATGATCTGATTTTATTTGAATATTCACTACTCTGCTATCTGACTCACATTATGTACTTGTAATTATGCATTCTAGTTACGTTAATTAATTAAAAAAGGGAGACCTAGCACTTAATTCCCCCCAATGCCAACAATTTATGTTTTTCTTTCCCTAATGTTCTTTGTTGCCATTTAATTAAAAAAAAATGTGGACATACAATTTTTTTTAAAAAATAATCTCCTACTAAATAATAAGCAGTATTTGCCTCAGAGGTGGTATTCATCAGGTTCTGATCAGTTTTGGAGAACAGGTAGCAGAAATTTTAAGTAGTTTGGAGAACCGATAAATACCATCTCTCACTGGCCCCGCCCTCATCTATTCTTTGCCTTCCGAATCCCAGCTGATCGGGAGGAAATTGGAATTTTTGCAGGAACCTTCCCCTGGAGTGAGGAGGGAATGGAGATTTTACACTAACCTTCCCCTACCACACCCACCAAGCCGCACTTACCAAACTATGCCAGGTCCATCAAGCCATGCCCACAGAACCGGTAGTTAAAAATTGTTGAATCCCACCACTGGCTACTTTGAAAATTGGTCATCCTTTTTCTTCCATTCAATCATACCTGATTTTGAGAGACTGTCTGGACAAGTCCATGCAGGTCTCCAAGGTGGGGCGTGAGAGGAGTCACTGTATGGGTATTGCTACGGCCCAATTGCCTGGAGACTGAGGAAATCTGAGGTCACACCCCCTGTTCCTCCTGGT